GATTTTGGATCATTTTTATTATCATTATTCTAAATTCTTTTTCAGGTAGATTCCCTATTTCCTCCTCTTTTGTTTGACTTGGTGGGCTTTTTTCATGTTCCTTTAGCTGTTGGGTATTTCTCTGCCTTTTCATCTTGTTTAGATTGCTGTGTCTGGGGTGGCCTTTCCATATTCTGGCAGTTTGTGTTTCCTCTTTATTGTGGAGGTTCCTTGCTGTGGGTGGGTTGGACAGGTGGCTTGTCAAGGTTTCCTGGTTAGGGAAACTTGTGTCAGTGTTTTGGTGGGTGGAGCTGGATTTCTTCTCTCTGGAGTGCAATGAGGTGTCCAGTAATGAGTTTTGAGATGTCAGTGTGTTTGGTGTGACTTTGGGCAGCCTGTGTATTGAAGCTCAGGGCTATGTTCCTATGTTACTGGAGAATTTGCATGGTATGTCTTGCTCTGGAACTTGTTGGCCCTTGGGTGGTGCTTGGTTTCAGTGTAGGTATGGAGGCTTTTGATGAGCTCTCATTGATTAGTGTTCCCTGGAGTAAGGAGTTCTCTAGTGTTTTCAGGGTTTGGACTTAAGCCTCCTGCCTCTGGTTTTCAGTCTTATGCTTACAGTAGTCTCAAGACCTCTCCATCTATACAGCACCAGTGATAAGACATCTAGGTTAATAATGAAAAATTTCTCCACAGTGAGGGACACCCGGAGAGGTACACAGAGTTACATGGAGAAGAGAAGAGGGAGGAGGGAGATAGAGGTGACCAAGAGGAAAAGAGGGGGAATCAAAAGGGGAGAGAGCAAGCTAGCCAGTAATCACTTCTCTATGTACTCTCCTCAGTCTGGACCCCTCAGAGTTGTTCACAGAGTTACACAGAGCAGAGAAGAGGGAGGAGGGAGACAGAGGTGGCCACGAGGATAAAAGGGGGCGTCAAAAGGAGAGAGACAGATCTAGCCAGTAATCAGTTCCCTAAGTGTTCTCCACATCCCAGAACACACAAAGAGATCCACAGAGTTGGGTAGAGAAGAGAAGGTAGAGGGAGGAATTAGAGGCAAACTGGTGGAGAAAGACAGTCAAAAGGGGGAGAGAGCAATCAAGCCAGTAATCTCACTCCCAAGTAAAAATGGGTACTGAAGATTTGGTTCTTATAGGTACAAAATTGGTAACAAATACCAAAAAGCAAAGATTAAAAATCTAGAGTAGAGGTTAGATTCTCAAAAATACAATATTAATAAAACAAAACAAAGTCACAAACATTATAAAATATATATATGAAGTTTGCTTTAAAAATAGGGTCTTTTGTTTTTGCAAGGTAATAGTAGGTTATAAAAATGAAAATTAAAGGAGTAATAGAGGACTTAAAAGTAACAAAAAAATTTAAACATTTAAAAAATGATAATAGTAAAAATATATCTAGGACTTTCTCTGGAGCTGTTGCAGACAGTGTGGGGTCAGTTCATTTTCAGATAGTTCCTTGATCTGGCTTATACTTCTCAAGATATATAGGCCCCTTCCTATGTAGTGGGTGCTAACTACAGGGTTTTAATTTATTGCACCTGTCACTTCCAAAGCGCTTCCCTCTGTTTATTTTAGCTTCTTCTGTTTGCTGGTCTCGTCAGTGTCTAATTTTTTCCCTGACACAAGGGGGCGAAGGTGGTCACTTATCTAGGCTTACTTGTCCAGTTGTGCTGTGGGGAGGGAGGAATACTGCAAACAAATATCACTGGCGTGTGTGGGGAGTGCTTGCAGTGTCTCAGTCACACTGGATTTGCCCCGCTCACTGCGTGTGTACTTTCCCAGTCTACACTGTTCAGGCTCTAGGTTGCTCTGCCGAGAACTGTCTGAGGCGGGCCCTGGGTTGTGTGTACTTTCCAGGTCTGAGCCACTCAGGTTCAGGTTCTCGGGTTCTCCACAAAGGTGCAGACTCGATTGGACCTGCGTTTTGTGCCCTTCCCAGGTCCGAGCAGCTCAGGTGACCAGGTGCTTGGCGAGTGCAGTCACCCCCAGTTGGAGGGTGCGTCTTATCGCCTCCCCCGTCCCTGCCGCTCGGTTTTCTGGGGGAACAGCGGGCGCGCCTTCTCAGGTGTGCCATGTGTCTCTTCTGGGGAGCTGATCTCTGGCTGCGACCCTCCTGGTGGATGTCAACCATCCGGAATCCCAAGAAGTCTTGGTTACAATGAAGCCTGCTTGCAGTTTGGTAGATGATGCCTCTCTGGGGCCGCGATTGCCCCCTTCCAACTCTGGCTGTCCCTCACCTGCCTGTATCTGGCAGGGGATGGGCCGGTCTGCAGCCGGCTAGCTCTGCTCAGTTCTCTGTTCTGTGAGCGAGCCTGGCAGTGTCTTAGGTTAGGGCTTTTCAGGGGATAGCTGTCCCACAATCTGGGTTGCTATCTCAAGTTAGTTCCCTCAGGTTGCCCTCGGAGCATTCAGGCCCGGTCCTTGCCCTAAGCAATGCAGCCCGCGCCTCCCTGTCCAGCCCTCGCTTGCTAGTGGTGGATGCGAGCGTCTGGGCTGCTTCTCTGCTGGGAGTTGCTGTTAGGCACGTAATCTGTGGGTTTTGATTATTTATTTATTTATTTATTTATTTACTTACTTACTTACTTACTTACTTACTTTTCCTCCCAGTTATGTTGCCCTCTGAGATTCCAAGACTCTCCACAGACCTGCCGGTGAGAGTGTTTCCTGGTGTTTGGAAACTTCTCTCTTTTTTAAGACTCCCTTCCCAGGACGGATCCCCATCCCTACTTCTTTTGTCTCTCTTTTTATCATTTATATTTTGTTCTACCTCCTTTCAAAGACAATGGGCTGCCTTTCTGGGTGCGTGATGTCCTCTGCCAGCATTCAGAAGTTGTTTTGTGGAATTTGCTCAGTGTTCAAATGTTCAAATGAATTTGTGGGGGAGAAAGTGGTCTCCCCATCCTATTCCTCCACCATCTTAGGACTGCCCCTTAAACAAGCATTTAAAATTACTTCTTAAACAAACATCTGTTTTTTAAACCCCACCTTCATCTCCAACTTTCAGAGGAGGAAGAGGAAGACATTCTTGGAGGAGGGGGAAAGGTGTTCTTGAACATAAATTGAGTTGTTCCTTGGCTTTGCCCTTTGCCAGTTTCCAAATTTTATAGATGTTTTCCCCCTCTCATCTTGTAACTTTAGGCTTTGCCTTGTAAAAATGTTTCCATCATGTCAGTTGAATTTCATGAGTGAGAAGAGCCAAATACCTGTGTCAGTTCACCATTTTTAACCATAAGTTGATAATTGAATTAGATGTGTTGAATTTTACCCATATATAGAGGAAGGTCCTGGATCTTACATAGGTATCTCCTCTCCCATTCCCTTTGTGTTCTGCACTTCCTATATGCACATTCCATCCTAACTAGCTTCATTTTGCCCGAAGTATGGACTCTACAATGTTCCCAGGACCCAGAGTCATGACTCTTATATTTATAGTGGCAGCAAGCCAGTAATCAGATGAAATATAGCACTAGTTGATAAGGGCTATATTTTTCTTGTGACATTTAGGAAACTCTTCTCATACCCAGTCTGATTTATATTCAGTGCAACCTATTTCTTTTCTGGGTCTTGTCCTGTGGAACTAAGCCTTTTGTTAATTTTCTTGGATACTCTGAAGAACTTTCTGGTCATGTTAACCTAGGATCATTCATTGCTTTCTGACTTTTTAAGCATTCCCCATGGTTGTGAATTTATACATAATTTTTTTTAGTCTTTGAAATTTGGGGATTTTCTCTCTCTCCAATCCTTGAAGTAACGTTCACTGTAGTTTTCCAGATATACTGCCTCTCACAGTTTCCATACCATATAGGAAATGGTATAGATACCATATAAGATCTTTCTGGTAAATTTACCTTGAGATGTAAGAAACATCCGTGCATTGGGTTTAATCAGTGAACATTTGGCATATTCATAGGCAAATGTCTTAATTTTAAATATTAATAATTCTATTTTAATGACAGGAATGTCAAAGAAAATTAAAACACAGACTTGGTCTGGATTCCTATTTACTGAAACCAGTGCAACGTATCACTAAATACCAGTTACTGTTGAAGGTAATTACATGAAGCATTTCTTTCTTTCTTTACTTACTTTTTTGGGTCAGATGTAGCAAAGCCATTAAAAAGGAAGCACTAGAAACAGGTAGGCTCCCTGAATGGGAGGGCTAGATATAGCAGTAGAATCTATGCTTTTAGCTGTTTAAGTGTCCATACAAATTACATTGATATATGGACAAGATTGACTGCAGAACTTTTACTGTTGTTAAGCAGAACTAAGCAAATATTCCTTGTAGTTTTGAGACTGTATTTCTTATAAGCCTTCTCAGTGAAAAATAAAGATAGCATATCCCTGAGTAATGTGAAAGGATTCCTAAAATGTCATGTTAGGTATAAATACAACATAGATTGTTTTAAAATATCTTTTCACAATGTTCTATGGTGTATGCATGGTGAATAAAGTTAATTGCTCTACATGGAGGACCAAAAAGATGTGTAACTGTTTTAAAAATGAATCTCTAGTGTGTCCTAATAGCTATTGTTTGCCAGCCCCGGAACTATTGAATGTTCTTTGCTTTCTACTGTTTAGTCACTATTCCATTTCTTCCCCAGTTTTGACATTGTTATTAAATATAGTGTTAATGTGACAAATAGCATGTGAAAGCAATTACTCAAAAAAGTGCCATTATCTTTGGATTCCTCCTTGAAAGCATGTTAGCCAAAAATATATTCATTTTTTCCAGTTATTAATATCTGTCTAATATTAAGTTTAACTCTTGACTTCTAATTACAGGAGCTATTAAAATATAGCAAAGACTGTGTCGGATCTGTAGAATTAAAGGAGGCACTTGACACAATGCTGGATTTACTGAAGTCAGTTAATGACTCAATGCATCAGACTGCAATAAATGGCTATATCGTAAGTAGATCTTCATGATTGTTGCAGTTTTACAGGGTAAGCATGTCAACATCTCTTTCTTCCTCTCCTGGAACAACTGAGAAATAAGACGTAAGAGGCAGACAAACAAAGGATCTAAATGTCAGCATTATTACTTATGATGCTAAGTGGAAAATTGGCTTCAGATCAGCAGCCAGATGGATTTACGACATTCCCCTTGTCCCTAACAAGGCCTACCTCCAAGTGCAGACCTTGGGAGATCCCACGTCATGGGATGTTTGGGTCTATTCTAAGGAGACATATCGTCTCAGAAGTGCTCTTTGCCCAGGTCCAAGATAGAGAGATGGAAGAAAGAGATCAAATCTTTAGGAGTTAGTTCCACCCCATGGGAAATCTTGGACTGGAAGAGCTTACTCGCCAATCAGGACTGAGGAAGCCATGGGGAGAGCTGGCCCAGCTGAAATACCTCCACATGGAGACATGAAGCCAGGGAAAAGGAAGTTTCTTCTATCTCCCAGTCCCACAGTCATTTTGTAACTGGCTGACACATGGCATGTTTTCATGCGAAAAGTTATGATGAATGAAACTTTTAAAACTATAAATTATGCTTCAGGGTTTTAGTAGCTCAAGCTAAACACTGTAATGATGCTGTCAGAGATCTGAATGCCCTTCTGCCCTGTACTAATGAGCTGAGGTTTTCTGTTCCAGGGAAACTTAAATGAGCTGGGCAAGATGATAATGCAGGGTGCATTCAGTGTTTGGATTGGACACAAGAAAGGTACTACAAAGATGAAGGATTTTGCTAGATTCAAATCAATGCAGCGGCACCTTTTCCTGTATGAAAAAGCCATTGTATTTTGTAAAAGGCGCGTTGAAAGTGGAGAAGGCGGTGATCGATACCCATCATACAGTTTTAAGCACTGTTTGAAAGTAAGACCTTTTGAATTGTATAATATAATAGTTTCTCGTGTATACATATACTCTATTCAAGTTTGTGTACTTTTCAGTTCAGCTGACTGGGTTTTACGCTTTAGTCACACACATTTGTTTATTTTTTCTAAACAAAATCTTTTGTTTTAAACTGAAGTATAATTGGCCTATAACATTATATTTGTTTCAGGTATGCAGTGTAATGCGTCAATATTTGTACATATTGTGAAATGATTGCCACAAATAACATCCATCACCACACAGTTAAAACCATTTTTTTTCTTGTGATAACTTTTAAGATCTACTCTCTTAGCAAGTTTCAAATATGAAGTACAGTATTATTAATCATGATCACTATAGTTACCATGCTATACATTACATCCCTGGGGTTTATTTATTTTACAACTGGAAGTTTGCACCCTTTGACCCCCTTCTCTACTCATTTCTCAAGCTCTCACCCATGAAACCTTAAGTAGGAGTCATACAGAGATGTCAGGTGAAGCAGAACTTGTCTGCTTAAAATGAGAGCCAGGAAGGGCAGAATGTAACCTTCCCTTTCTCTCTCACTTCAGTCCCAGGCATTCCTCAAGGGGGCGCCCTAGTGTCTTGCCTGGTGCAGTTTGAAATTACAGGAAGAGACCCAGGCTCCCCCGTTTGCACTGTCTTACCAATGACACCAGGTGGAGTTCTTGGTCTTGGTAGCAAGGACTTTTTATCATACAGGAGAGTCAGAGGAAAGAGTTTTTTTCCTTTTTTTTCCAATGTAATTAAAAAATGGATCACCTTTTTTCTGTTGTTTTTCCTGGCCTCGCGACTCAGCTTAGTTCCCCAACCAGGGATTGAATCTATGCCCCCCTTGCACTGGAGCACAGAGTCTTAACCACTGGACTGCCAGATTACTTTTATGTCTAGCACATTCCCATCATACCCCTCCTCCATCCCCTCTTTTCCTGGGTGTTCCATAGCCACCAATTGCTGAATCTTGCCCATGCCTGTCCTGTCTGATCCTTAGAAATTGCTTTCTTCCCTCCCATAACCCAAACCACCATTCTGTCCTACAGTTAGTTTGGTATTCAAATCAGAGCAGTATTGTGTGAGGAAGTTACTGGCAATTCAGTGCCATTCCCAGCTGGTTTTGACATTTGAGAAGAGGAACTTCCAATCCACAGGAGTCTGTAACTGGCAAATTTGATTTTTTCACACTAATTAATTTTATCTTTCAAGTTCTACATTGTAAAAACAATATAGCATTTGTTAAAGAAAATTTGGGGACTTCCATGATGGTACAGTGGTTAAGACTCTGAGCTCCCGCTGGGAGGGGCAGAGGTTCGATCCCTGGTCAAGGGAGATACTGCATGCTGTGTGGCGTGACCAAAAGAAGAAAAGAAAAGAAAATTTGGAAAATGGAGAAAATTATTACCCTCAACTTCCCAGCCACTATCATTTTGGTTATTTCTCATGAGCCTGTTGTTTCTTGGTTGTTAGCAAGTTGAGAATTGATGAGATATCCAGCAGTGGTAATAAAGAGGATGGGCCATATGTCCTGAGCAGGCATGAGGGCTTTGTGTCAGGAGGCCCCCCGAGAAGCAGGTCCTGCTTTTGATTCTTCCCAGATGCCAACAACCCTATGCTGTTCCTGACGGAATTCCTAACCATAGTTAGGTCTCTGACCTTTTTCTATGGTCTGCTTTCCCTGCTGAACCCACAGCAGTGGCTCTTCAAAACTCTCACTGTTTTCATAACAAATGCCCTGTTGCTCTGATATTAGCCACCCATCTCTAAGTCCCTAAAATCTCCAAGGGTCTTTTATGTCTCTAATAAACTTTGGTTGAGAATCAAGAGTTTGTAATCGACATCAAACAGGGTTCAGGTCTCCTGCTATCTGTATATCTATTCCCAGGGAAGGTACTTCATAGACTAGTTGGACCCAAATCCATTTGATTCACTTTTTATTTGTAGAGTGACCTAGTTACTACCTAATATACTATTTCTGGCTTGTATTGATTTTTCTTTTTTTACTTTTTTCTCTCTTTTTTACTTTTAATTTATCACAAATTGGGCACACCAACAGAGTAGTTTAGTATTTCTAAAGCACATCAGAGTGAGGATGGATTGGTATGAGGTAACCAATTCATGAGAATTCAAACAACAGTGGTTACCATGGAAACAGAGGATGGGATAGATGCAAGAAACATTTCCATGGCAGGTAAACAGGCAGGCTTGTTGATTTACTAAATATAGAAAATAAATAATACCTGACATTGGAAGGAAAAAATCAACCTGTTTTTCTTTGATTCCACAATAATGCCTGGTGTCCTTAATAAAAGACATTAGTCACTGATGCCTTCAAGGATTGAGACCAGGATTATTAGGAAAATGGTGATGTTGCTCACAGAGAAAGATGGAAATTAAGCTATTTCTTATAAGCTATGCTTACTTCCTCTTGCTTACATGAGATTCTGGGATTAAAAAATTGCTGGTAGGACTAGTTGGTGTGTTACGTAAGAGTTTGGATTCCTGGTTTCAGAATCTTCCCCTTGGTAGAGAGGATCAATGTGGAAGCACTTTCAAGGAACTGTTGCCTTGACTTCATCATATCAAGCTGGAATTTCATGGCCTGACAGCTGAATGATGACTGCGTGCTTTATTTTAAGTTGACAGCTCCTGTGCAAAGGAAAGGCCCTAAAGTCACAGTTAGTCAAATGGAGACATTTGAGTTCTTCAGATTCCTCAGTTCATGCATTTATTATTTTCATCTATGTTTTTAAGTTTAACAAATATATGCGTCATACTGACTATTTTGCTAGGAGCTGTTTAAATGTTATCAATGTTAATTCATTTAATCTACATAGCAACTTTATGTGAAGTAGGAACTATTATCAACCCCGTTTTGAGGATAGGCAAGCCAAGTTCCAGAGAGGTGAATAATTCATCCAAGGGCATAGATTCACACCCAGGCAGATGGCCTCGAACTCTATGACCATAAGCCCTGCGCCATGCTGGCAAGTCTTGTTCTTGCTTGTTTATTTCATTCCTTCATTCCTTTTTATCTCCATCCTCTGCACTTAATCTCCTCTCCACTCCTGTAGCAACCATTCTAATTTATTTGATGTACATCCTTCAGTTTGTGTGTTCTTTTAAAATACATACTAATGTTCTATGCCCATTTAGTTTTAATTTTTATAAATTGTATTCTGATATAATCCTCATTTTCTTTCTTTTTTGATCACAGAAACTGTTTTCAAGATATAGTTATGTTACTGTTTTATACCCAATACCTTGCTTGTAACTGCCTCATGGCAGTTCAGCCTTGCTGCATTTTTTGTTTTGTTAATATGAAGATAAATTTTTAAATAATACTAACTCAAGAGGTAACTATTATGTATTCCAGATACATAAATAAAAGTCTTAAAATAGGTAGTTATTGGTTATAATCCCAGAGTTCTTGACCCACTGGGAGACTTTTTAACAAGGTAGTTGACATCATTGTACTGCCCTGAAGACAGAAAATTAGTTTAAAAGTTGGGGCCCTGAGTACTTGATGCAGCAAGATGTCTTCAGATAAAATGCTTTGAAATAAAGAAAATAAATTCCCAGCTGTCAGAAATCATCAATGAAAATGTGAAGAATGAGGCAGAGATCACAGTTATGGTATAACTATAGAATCAGCTTTGTTCTTTTGTTTTATATATATATTATTTATTACATAGTATATCATATGACTGTACTCATATAGTTAGAACTTTAATTCTGCCTCTCTTCTTAAAAACCTCTCAATAAAATACTTATATTTTATTATTTGAGAAAATATGTATAATTCATGAATTACAGATAGATTGTATTACAGTGGATCATTTGTAGTAAATTGCTTAGAACTAAGAACAATATTGGAGAAGGAAATGTCAGCCCATTCCAGTATTCTTGCCTTGGAAATGCTGTGGACAGAGGAGCCTGGCATGCTACAGTCCATGGGGTCGCAAAGAGTTGGGCATGGCTATCTACTAAACAACAACAGCAAGAACAATATAGTTTGATAGATATAATTCTTAGATTTCCAGAGTAACTCAAAAGATTTATTTAATCTATAATGCTGTACTCTATGTAGGCAGTGAAAAATAGCGAAACTGTTGCTATTCACGTAAGGAAAAGCTGAGGAAGCAAACTCATACTTAAAAAAAAACTCATCTTGTTATCTAAGTCTTTTTTTGTTATCTAAGTCTTTAATGCATGCTATATAATCCTTCTATCAACTCTGTGAAATAGGTACTCTTCCTATTTTATAGTCAAGTCAACGAAAGTTTAGAAAGATTAAGCAACTTGCACCAAGACACTTAACTAGCTCATGGGCTTTCCATCTTATCATGCTGTTAGGACAAAACCATGTATTGAAACAAAATCAGTTTAAATAGAGCTTGAATATGAGATTATTATTTATCTTAAAACCTGGTGTTTGAACAAAAGTAGTTTAGTTAGAGTGATTGAGTAGGAATATAAAGATTATTTTTGGACATTCTGAAAGTAACTTCTGAGTACATTCAGGGTAGATGTCACAGACTTTTTCATTTCTAAATATAATCCCTTTTCTCTTTCTTGATATGGGGATCTCACTAGGCACTACTCTTAATGCTTATCAGCTCTAATTAGGATCATTTGGGACACATGTAAATGGAACAGAGTGTGAGATATTCCTTTAGATAATTAGGCAAGAATTGAAAGAAAAGGCAGAAGGAGACTAAAAGAGAATGTGTACAAGGGAGTGAAATTGCTCACAGTGGAATTACCCAAGCTACTAGCAGCACAGGATAAAAGAAAATGGAAAAGTTTGTGCTTTGCACAATCGTGTGAAAGAGAAGAAAAACTATGGTAAGGAAGGACTATTGCATGTCAGAGCTTCACTGGCTACAAGAAGATATCACTCTCCCATGACAGATTGTTTTCCAGAGAGCCTGAGAGATGGGTAGAAATAGAGGGGATTTTTGTGTAGCTGATTGGTTCCTGCCTGACCTGTAAATTGGATGTCTATAACATGTAGGACTTCTACAGACATAAGTAATAATTTATGAGATTAACTTATCTGGCCTATGGTTATTAAAAATAAACCATTTAAATTAGTTTTGGATGAACTTGTTCACTGATATTTAACTACTTTTACTTCTGTGTTTGACACAATTTGTTTTTATAGTGTACTTTTAATTTATAACAGAATTCAATCTTAGGTGGGCTACTTGGATGTTCAAATTTATAACATTTGTTTCAGTCACTGGAATGGAGCGTGTAGTCTGTACTATAAGTGCATAGTTCAGTGAAAACATATAAATACTCAGGTCTGTGATTATATTCATCATTTCATATTCTTTGAATGTAAAAGTATATTTTGCACAAATGAGAAATTCTGTTTCATGTAGAATATGATGGGTATGATGGGAGTCGCTTTAATGTAATTTCATTTTCAGAATAAAATGCTCATAAAAATCATGACATATATTGTAGATGGATGAACTTGGAATCACTGAATATGTGAAAGGAGATAACCGCAAGTTTGAAATCTGGTATGCTGAAAAGGAAGAAGTTTATATTGTCCAGGTTGGTCATTTAAGAATTGTTCTAGAAACTCTACCTGCCTTAAGATACAAAAGTCTGAATTTGCAAACAAAAATAATTTTGGTTACATTACATAAATTCTCAGTCCTTTCCTGTAGGTCACCTAAATATTATTTGATAACTATTCTTTGTGATACAGTTAAACATGTTTTCAGCTAGCAAATTTTCTTTGATTCTTTTAAGTATAGTTGGTGTATAATATTATATGTTATAGGTATACAATATAGTGATTCATAATTTTTAAAGATTATTCTCCATTTATAGTTATTATGAAACATTGGATATAGTCCCCAAGTGATTCAATAAATCCTTGTAGTTTATTTTATACCCAATAGTTTGTACCTGTTAATTCCCTACCCCCACATTGCCCCTCTCTACTTCCCTCTCCCAACTGGTAACCACTATTTTGTTCTCTGTATCTGTGAGACTGCTTCTTTTTTGTTATATTCACTAGTTTGTTTTATTTTTTGGATTCCACATACAAGTGATATCATACACATGATATCAGTCATGGTTGTCTTTCTCTGACTTATTTCACTTGATATAATACCCTCCAAGTCCATCCTATTGTTGGAAGTGGCAAAATTTCATTCCTCTTTATGACTGAGTAGTATTCTATTGTGTGTGTGTGTATATATATATTGCCTTTTAAATCCATTCATCTTTTGATGCACACTTAGGTTAGTTCTGTTGGCAAAACTTTTCTTTAACTTGAGATGTGTCTGTGATGCTTTCTATGGCTTTAAGTTTTCACACTTAGGTTAGTTCTGTTGGCAAAAGTTTTCTTTAACTTAAGATGTGTCTGTGATGCTTTCTATAGCTTTAAGTTTTCACTGCTACATCAGGAGACTTACCAATAAGAGCTGGAAGTCAAGAGCTTGGCTGGTGCTTTTCTGTCCCCATCAAGTTTCTAGAGTTACAGATTGATAACAGTGCTGAGTTCCTCTTATGCTCTGCATTCAGAGAGGACCTGCTTATGAGACAAGGTGATATGATGGTTCAGATCAGGTCGTTGTTTCTAAAGAATGTGGTTAAAGCCCTGGCCACACATGCTATAATGTTCAGCCTGTTTCAGGGAAGAGGAGAGAAATTAGAACATTTCAAGAGCCATTTCAAAAAGTATTTGTATCATGACTTGTTAACTGTTAACAGTGGTTGGTGTTTTTTCTTTGTTTTAACTCTATCTTAGGTGATTACAATTCATAAAAATATATGCTCTTGGCTTGATTTAGATGTAAGATTTTTCTTATCTATTAACAAACTTATCTTGTAAGTAATGGGAAGATATTTAAGGAAGCTTTCATGCTGTCATCAGTTATGAAGATAACTATGCAAGCGATTGTCTTTATTTATTTTTTTGGCTGCACTACAGTGTGGTATGTCAGATCTTAGTTTCCAAACCAGAGATCGAACCCAGGCCCTTAGCAGTGAAAGCACCGAGTCCTAACCCAATAGTCCACCAGGGAATTCTGTGCAATAGATTGTGTTTTCAGAAACAATAGAGCTTGTTTTGTTTTACTAAAATTAAGCATGAAAATGTTTATATATTTAAAAAACCCTCCTACACAGAAAAGAATAAGTGAGATTTATATTTCACATTTCTCTAAGCATCTGGGCTTCCCTGACGGCTCAGCTGGTAAAGAATCCGCCTGCAATGTGGGAGACCTGGGTTCGATCCCTGGGTTGGGAAGATCCCCTGGAGAAGGGAATGGCTACCCACTCCAGTATTCTTGCCTGGAGAATTCCATGGACTGTATAGTCCATGGGGTTGCAAAAATTCAGACACAGCTGAGTGACTTTCACTTTTCATTAAGCATTATTATTGAAGGGCAGTTTCAAATTAGCCTTGACTATTATTTCATCTAATCTGATGGCTGTTTATTTGCTTCTTGGAAGTCTAAGAATCAAAATGTTAGGATAAGAATATGATAGTTCAGGATATCGATTATGTTTAGTATAATAATGACCTTTGTTTTATTATAAAGCATCGTTTTAAAAAGGAAACCTGTCTTCTTCTCCCTCACTTTTTAAATCTTTAGGCTTCGAATATAGATACGAAGATGATGTGGTTAAAAGAAATCAGAAATATTTTGTTGAAGCAACAGGAACTTTTGACAGGTAAATTCAAGCATGCATTCTGTAGAATGGGAAGTATAAGAACAGCTCAGTGACTCAGATTTTGTGATAATTTTTACAAGGAATGTGGCTGATGTTTACTTTCTACTATTTATAATTAAACTCATTAGTAGGAGATCAAGATTCAGGGAGCTGTTTGAATTATTTCAGAAAATGAATTTTGCAGTAGAAGATGAGCTCTAATGCCTGGGAAGCAGTTTTGCAGTGATAAAGCAATCTGAATGTGTTTATTCTGTCCTTCCCATGAGGCAACTCTGTGTGGGAACTCAGTAATCAGTGCCTAGTAATGTTGGCCTAAGAGGGGTGCTAGTTATAAACTTGAATGTCTTGAATAAAATACAGCATGGTTTGATCGTTTTCTATATTCCAATTCAGACTGGCCTTCCCTCTGGCTGTTTCAAGTCTGTGACAGTGAACTAGAATGGGATTGAGGCGTGTGTGTATGTACATGTGAAGATAATTGGTCCTCAAAGAAGTAAGAAGCATGCCTTCCAAATGATGCTTATATAAGCTTTGTTTTACTTCACAGTTAAGAAACGAGAGCAGTATAATCAGTTAACAGAACAGAGTCATCGTTCTTCTCAGCAGAATAGCGAGTAAGTGATTCTTCTTTAAGAAATATCACCCTTCCAATCTTCTGTTTTCTGTGTGTAACATGAAACAATGTAATTAAACTATCAGACAAAAATTACCTACCCTTTTAGCAATATCTTGTCAAATTCCATAAACACATCATTTTCTCAGTTCTGTGCTTGGACATGGAGCCTGATAGTCCTTAATAGTTATCCCACTGTTTCTCTGATGTTAAAAAAAAATAATAGTTTGGGCTAATTTTTTAATAAAATTATAAATGCTTTGTTCTATTGGGGGCAGTTACATGTAGGCTGCTAGCAAAAGCGGTTACGCTCATGGATTTCTTTTTAAAAATTTTCTGGACACCTTCCATCTGATTGGAGAAAGAGGGGTGTAAGAATGATGAAGTACTGGCAGCTGATCCTGGCCCACAGCTTTGTGGTCTCTTGACAGAGACCACATGCTGGTGACTTGGCCTCTCTGTGTAGTTAGAGAGGAGGTGTGGCTCCTGGGTGGCAGGGGCGGGGAGGGGGGATTGTGCCTGGACACAGTCACAAAGTCTTTGAGGAAGGTAGCAGTTCTAAATGAAAGCTATGCTGCTGGTTTAGAGATTTGGCCTTGTATTCTGCCTCTAGGAATCCTAGAAGTTGGAGTTTCCATAGAACATTTGCCTATATGCTGAAAGAATCCCCACACTTATTTCAAAGCCTTGGCACAGAAATTAACCATGCAGTGTCTGCGTGATGTAGGGATCATTGAAAGACTTATTAAAAATACTCTTTTTCAATGGTACAAATGAACTTATTTACAAAGTGGAAATAGAGTTAGAGATGTGGAAAACAATCTTGTGTTTACCGGGGGGGAAAGAAAGGAAGGATAAATTGGGAGATTGGAATTGACATATACACATTACTATATATAAAATAGATAACTAACAAGGACTTACTGTATAGCACAGGGAACTCTATTCAGTAGTAAGCAATGACCTATATGGGAAAAGAGTCTAAAAAAGAGTGAATATTTGTATATATATGTCTGATTCACTATGCTGTGCAGAAGAAAGTAACACAACATTGTAAATCAACTATACTTCAGTAAGAAAATTTTTTAAAATGCTCTTTTTCTCTTTGTTGCACATCATCTTTCACAGGTAGCTAAATCAGGTGCAAAGTATGTTGATTTATCTAGGCTTTAGGAGAACCATTTTATTTTTTTAAATTTATCTATTTTAATTGGAGGCTAATTACTTTACAATATTGTGGTGGTTTTTGCCATACATTGACACGAATCAGCTATGGGTGTACATGTGTTCCCCATCCTGAACCCCCCTCCCACCTCCCTCCCCATCCCATCCCCCAGGGTCTTCCCAGTGCACCAGCCCTGAGCACCCTGTCTCATGCATTGAACCTGGACTGGCGATCTGTTTCACTTATGATAATATGCATGTTTCAATGCTATTCTCTCAAATCAGCCCACCCTTGCCTTCTCCCATAGAGTCCAAAAGACTGTTCTATACACCTGTGTCTCTTTTGCTGTCTCGGGTATAGGGTCATTGTTACCACCTTTCTAAATTCCATATATATATGCGTTAGTATACTGTATTGGTGTTTTTCTTTCTGGCTTAGTTTGCTCTGTATAATAGGCTTCAGTTTCATCCACCTCATTAAAACTGATTCAAATGTATTCTTTTTTTAATGGCTGAGTAATATTCCATAGTGTATATGTACCACAGCTTTCTTATCCATTCGTCTGCTGATGGGCATCTAGGTTGCTTCCATGTCCTGGCTATTATAAACAGTGCTGCGATGAACATTGGGGTGCACGTGTCTCTTTCAGATCTGGTTTCCTCGGTGTGTATGCCCAGAAGTGGGATTGCTGGGTCATATGGCAGTTCTATTTCCAGTTTTTTAAGGAATCTCCACACTGTTCTCCATAGCGGCTGTACTAGTTTGCATTCCCACCAACAGTGTAAGAGGGTTCCCTTTTCTCCACACCCTCTCCAGCATTTATTATTTGTAGACTTTTGGATAGCAGCCATTCTGACTGGTGTGAGATGGTACCTCATTGTGGTTTTGATTTGCATTTAGGAGAACCATTTTAAAATCACAGTGGAAGTCTTTATTTTCCAGGGTTCACAGTACTCAATATTTTGTCATATATTCTGGAAGTCTTTAGATTTCAGACAGTACCGACTCTATAGTAGCTGATTCACCTCAACAGTATTAATCAGATTAAGGTTTTAATCATCATTCATATATACCTTATATAAGTATATATATGTATATATATATATAAGTATATATACATATAATGTATGTATATGTATATACCTAATTCATTAAAGTTAAAAGTTCATAGAACGATAGTGATTTTTTGTTGTTCTTTATATTTTTCCAATTTATGGAGTTGACAATTAAAATTGTATACATTTAAAGAGTACAATTTGATGATTTGACATTGTGTTGATTGCATGCATGCTCAGTTGTGTCCAACTCTTTGCAACCCCATGGACTATAACCCACCAGGCTTCTCTGTCCATTGAATTCTCTAGGCAAGAATACTGGAGTGGGTTGCCATTTCCTCCTCCAGGGCATCTTCCCAGCCCATGGATTAAACCTGTGTCTCCTGGGTGTTCCCCTTTGGCAGGTGGATTCTTTTCCACTAGTGCCACCTGGGAAGCCTATGATTTTATTTATATATATATATGTGTATATATATATGTATATATCACCACAGTCAAACTGATTAACATATCCATCACCTTACATAGTTATCCTTTCCTGTGTCTGTAGTGAGAACATTTAGGATTTACCTCCTAGCAAATTTTGGATATGCAATATAATATGCAACAGGAATTTTATATAATATACCTGCCTTGGGTTCAGAAGGGAATTATATTTTTCCATGCTGGCTTGGATCCTAGGATTTAGGCTTCTGTATATTATGAGCTATTATCACACACACTTAAATACAGGGGAAAGTCAGCTCTGCTTGAATGGATTCTTAGATTATGTTCTTTTTTTTTACAATTTATTTATGTTTGACTCTGCTGGGTCTTTGTTGCTATGCAGGCTTTTCTCTAGTTGCAGTGAGCAAGGGCCACTCTCTAGTTGTGGTGCACAGGTTTCTCATTGTGGTGGCTTCTCTTGTTGCGGAGCATGGGTTCTAGGGCGTGCGGACTTCAGTAGTTGCATCACGCGGGCTCAGTAGTTGGGGCTCCCAGGCCGTAAAGCACAACAAGTTCAGTAGTTGTGGTGCACAGGCTTAGTTGGTCTGAGGCATATGGGATCTTCCCAGACCAGGGATCAAACCCAAGTCTCCTGCACTGGCAGATGGATTGTTTACCACTGAGCCACTAGGGAAGCCCCTAGATTATGTTCTTAACACAGGCTATCAGTGGAAGAAATACCATTTTAAATTTCTTATTACTCTTAGACTGTAAGAAAGCTCACTGTTTTTGCATATTTACTATTTCAGAGGGCAACAGAGAGCTTTTATGGGCGCTGAGGAACCTAGGTTGGAACATATCAGCGCTATGGTGGGGGTCGGCGAGTCCATCACATCAGTTCAGGCAGAAGCAAATACAGGTATGTGTAATGGTTATCCGAAGGGAGGATTCATGGTTGTGCAAATTGTTTTCTCTCATTGTTATTTTGGGAAATCTTTCCATCTATTCCCTTTATACTGAAGAAAACAGAGTTAACCCATTTTCAGAAAGCTCTTCTGTCTTGTATATATATGCAAGATTCTCTAGTGGGCACTGCTGAGCAGAGTGGTCTGTGTGTGGTCCATGGACCAGTAGCATCAGCATCACCTGGGAACTTATCAGGAAGGCAGGTACTTTGGCTCCATCCTGGGCCTTCTGAATCAGAAACTCTAGGAGTGAGACCCAGCCAGCTGTGATGTCACAAATTCTCTATGTGATTCTTTCTGGCACCTGCGTAAGTTTGGAAGCCCCTCCTACACAGGATACAGAGGTGAATAGAACACATACACTGCATCAAGGGAGGCACTCGTGACTCACTATAGGTTTAATAAATAGAGAAGAGTTATTTACAACTGGAATATTTTCTTTTCTTTTGCAAATTTGGTCATTTAAAGGGATTTAAAACAATTTGTTTACTTCAATGAACATAACAGCCTAATTGCCAGGAATCTTACAGTACTCTGGGCATACAGTCTAATTGAGATACACTCAGCTGCCATCCCCATAAAGCTAGGACTGTAGAAAGATAATGCAACAAGCAATGAAAATCCAACTTGATAGTGTGTTAACAGAGAAGTAAATGGTGCTTCAGAGGCATCCAAGAGGGTCACATTAACAACTCCGGGATCAACAGAATAGACTTCTCTGAAGAAATGGCTAACAGAGTGCCTGATTCTCATTCCTTAAACATGATGGTCCTCAATCTGCAAGACTTCTCTACTAGCTGAGGAGAAACAGGAACAACAACCTTGCTCAGCTTCAGTTCTCCATTTACAGGTCGCTTCCCTCAGGTCATCTATACTGTGGCCCCCTGAGCCTTCAGGAGAGCCTAGTATCACTGTGTTCATTTGACAGATGAGGAAACCAAGTCAGAGAAAGTTGACACGGCTTGTTCAAGGTTACATTCACAGTTTAGTGTGGCCAAGATGACATTCTGTTACTTCTTCGCCCCTTCCAAGTGCTCCATTCATATCAGTTCAATGCATGCTATTAATTATTTCATTAATTAAGCATCTCTTACAGGCAGGTTCTTATGAGACAGTGTGTAACACATGGTCCTTGTATAATAAAAGAGATAAGTCCAAAATAACCATATTACCAGGTAGAATGTTATAAGTGTTGTTTAAGTGGGACCAGGAAGAATGCTATAGAAAGAATTTTTGAAAGAGATGATTTTCCTGTAATAAGGAGTATAATAACTTGGACCAACCCCAACATGAAACCATCCTAAAAAGTTAAAGAAGTGTAGATATTCCAGGCCCTTTCTGAAATATCAGAAATTCTAAACTAGTATAACCCAATTGGAGGTTTTATTACAAAAGATATTATTCTTGGACTATTGAAGTGTATAGCCTTGATAATTACAGTTCGTTTTACTTCTCTCCTTGTGGTGTACCAGTAACTGCTACCCTGCATGATTTTCTTACAGTTTGGACTGAGATGTTGTCACCTGCAAAAGCCTCTGATGAGCCTGAGCAATGGTCCAGTAACTATTTCTATTCCTCTTATGATGACCATGAAGAAGAAAGACCTCTGATGGTTAGTAATGACATATTAAGATAAATAAATAAAACTCTTCAAGCAGTTTTATTGATGAAATAGATTAGGCACATAGGGGCAGTCTTTTGTCAATATCCTTGAGACAGTAGAGGTGTTCCAAGACTTGAAATAAGTCTTACCATGAACATTCAGTAAGCACTTTGCTCTATAAGAACTTGTTTGAGCTATACCTTGAACCCCTACTGAAGTTAATGAGATAGTCAATCATTCCAAGTCATATCATGACCAATTTTATCTTCAGTTTTATTTTATTTTCAATCTGGGCGTGTCAGAGAAAATCAGAGCACAACAGGAAGTTCAGGTATACTTAGAATAGATTCCAGATTAGATATAGGAAATAAATATGACACATTTAAAAACTGTTTAATTTCACCTGGGAAATATATTTTAGTAGGCTGTCAAAAAAACATGCTAATACTATGAATCTTAGCATACTAGAGCAAGGGAACACCCCATAAAAATAAAGGCTACTTTAGGGTAAAAGTAAATGTTTTATAAATAAAGGCTGCTTTAGGGTGAAAGTAAATGTTTTCTAGAAGAACTAGTTTTTGGTGTTATTAGGTTCCTAGTGGGTTATCCCAGGGATTTAGGACTATTTAGAATAAATCTCCAGTTTTCTGAAGTCACCAGTGTGGAGGGTGGGAATGATGTTTTTGTAGTGGACTGTTCCTTGGTGCTTTTCAGAGGAATACATTCAGTTGGGCAGTTCTGATCTCAAATCTCCATAGCATTGATGCTGAATTGCTTTCTTTAAAAAAGCAACAGAATATTTTTTCCATCAATAATACCATGACCATAATTCATATTTGTATGGTCGTTTATAGTTGACAAAATCATTTCACACTGAATATTCATAATCTTAGTGAGAAAAAGGGCAGGCTTTATTCCCTCCAACTGACAGAGGAGGAGACCAAGGCCCAGAGCTGGTAAGAGATTTGTCCAGAGTTCGTTGTCTAGACCGGTAGTGCTCAAACTTTTTAGTGAATTTGCATTTTTCAAACAAAAAATGTGTAGTGAGAAGGGTGGCATGTGAAATATTTTTGCAACAACAAAAAATGAAGAAATAAAGGACTTACCTGATGGTCCAGGGGCTAGGACTTTGCACTTCCACTTCAGCAGCACGGGTTTGATCCTTGGTTAGGGAACTAAGGTCCCTCAAGCTGCATGGTGCAACCAAAACAAAAAAAAATTTGCAAATCTATTTAACTTCTGTCTTCAGAAAAGACAGCTGGATTCTCATACTGGCATTTGCATTCAGTCTGTTGTGCTATCACACATTTGGTGACCTCTTGAAAATGCCTCAGTAGACTTGTGAAAGGATGAGAATGAAAAAGTCAAATAGAACTTTGACTCTTGCAGGCCCTGGGAACCCCCAACCTTGAGAAGCACTGAAAAGAACTTTCATTTCCTGAAGTAACATTATCTGAGGACAGGAGGGGTCATTGTTCAGATGGAAGCAACAAGTCAGGGGAAGCTGGGTGGGGTTTCAATGTTTGCTGTGAATGATGCTCTATGAAGGGATGGTCAAGAACTGAGAAAGCTTTCACTAAGCATTTTTCCAGCTATCATGTCAGAAAAGAAAGCAAATATGCAAAACTGAAGAATGCTTTCATCTTAGGGGACGGGAATGGAGAAAAAAAAAAGTTCTTCTCCTTTCTCCCATGAATTCCCTGACTTGTGCTACTAAGGAAAATAGATACAAAGATAATACGTTGCATTCCACACCCCCCAATAAAATAACCCCCAAACTAAGCAGCAAAGCAGTTGGAATGAGCTATCTTTTAGCCTCACTTTATCAAGTCAAAACCAAGAAATAATGGGTGCTGCTTCCCTTGGAGAAGCCTGAGTCGGAGATGGCTGTCCTGTTTTAATGAAGCTACTCTCTTGAATGGCAAGTATCTCTTTCCTGCCTGCTCCTCAGCCCATTTGATAAAAATACTGCTCAAAAGATGTTCAGCCCAAGTGATGTGGATAATATTTTCAGGCTAATTCTTTTGGATGTGCAAAGGCTCAATACCGCATAATTCTTTCTTTCCTTTAACCTTTTAAATTGTATTTTATATTTAATTGGAGGATAATTACAGTATTGTGAATGGTTTCTGTCATATATAGACAACTTTCCTTTTTTTAATCATTTTGTTCTTTTTTTGTTTTGTTTGTTTTTTAATTAATTAATTAATTTTACTTTGCAATATTGTATTGGTTTTGCCATACATTGACTTGAATCCGCACAACTTTCCTTTTATATTAAAAAAAGCACTTTTCATTATGGTACTCTTTTTCTATAAAATCATATATCCAATGTCTAAGATACTGTGCTGGAAAAACTCGCATCTCAGAATACATTTGGACTCAGTTATTATTTCTTCTCTGTCTACCTTGTAACCAAATGCAATCTGTGTGCCTTGGATTATTTAGCTTATTAATGAATCAAGTTAAAATTTTAGCTGCAAAATGATTAAGGCCAAGTAAAGCACAGCATTATGGTTTAATATGCTTTTATTGGACTAAGATTTGCACCCATGATTTTTACCTGTGCAGAATGATATGAAGCACAGAAATCCTTTTGGGGACATTTGTAAATCTTTGTTCAGGGCCATTGCCTTTTTTATATGCCAAGATAATTTTTTTTATGAGAGTAATTTACAAATAGCAGTATTTAAATATTATTTTCATGCTTTTTTCTGGATTTATGTTTATTATTCATGTAACTTAAATCAGTTGGGCTCTGTTATTTTCTGTGTCGTTCACACTGTAATTCTCTTCTCACAAATAAAAATGAATTCTTCAGGTTAAATAAACACATGTTCTGGTTTTTTTTTGCTATCACAAACTGCTCAATGTTTGTTTGTTCTTACAAAGCTGCTGCAGCTAACCACATTTGCCACTGAGGAAAAAAGCAAAGTCTTTATGTCACAGAACATGCAGTTATGCAAGTAGTTTTGCATTCAAGTTTGTAATGTCATTTTTCAAAACAACCTTACAGTCTCCAGGCAAATATAAAGCCCTAGCAGATTGCAGGAAGAGAGGCTCAGAAGACCTCCTGATTAGAAATGGAGATGTCATTCAACTTCTCCATGAGGATGCTGAGGGTCGATGGTAGGTGCATTCTCCACGGCTATGTTAACCTCCCCCTGGGGCACATAGATATCTAATCAGATGTTCTGCTTTACTTGTATCTTTGTTATACAGTCTCAAGAAGCAGAAATATCACATTTCTTATCAGTGTTTCAATTTCATTGCTTCAGCCATGCCTATATAGCTCACTGAAAGGAATGTTAACCTTTGGTGAGTGAAGAATGCTTTGAAAGAATGAAATGCTTTGAGTCTGCATGCTCTTTTGTGGTTTACCTTTGACTCAGATGTTTCAGCTGATATATTGGGCTTTGTCACAGCTACAAATCACATTACATTAGGTCAAGTCATTCATTAATTCATCACATGTTTAAATGCCCACTATGTGCCAGGGACCATGTTCACTATTCTACAGCATAGCTGTACTTTGCTTTATTAGTTCAAATACTGACTTTTTAATCTTACCATTCTGTCCTCATGCATCTGACTTTATACAGCACTGATTGCAAAGATGCTTCTGCCAAACATACTGTTTAACTACAGAGAACCCAAAGCAGGAAGGAAATATTGTTTGGGAGAGGACTGAATGAAACTTCCATAAAGCTTTTGGAAATTTTATATAAAATAATTCTGCCTTCATTGTATCAATGACTTGAACTGAAATGCTATATTGACTGTGTACTCTGACCCTAAAGGTGGAAGAGTGTACACATGAGAGTGAATTAATGATGGATCAATAATGTAATAGCCTTTTTTGTGATCTAAGTCCTTTGTAGATTACTCAAAGGACTCAAGCATAGTGTTCTGAAGTTCTTTTGAATACATGCAATAGTTTTGTGAAAATTTGAGCTTCAGTGCATTGTATATGTTAACTTTATTACCTTCTACTACCATTATTGGCTACTAATTCACTTATTATTTAGGTTGGTGAAAAATCTAAACAGAAGAAAAGAAGGTCTGATTCCAGGGAACAGTTTGCAGATTTTAATTGGTGACTATAGGTTTCGGAATGCCAAAGGTACAGGTATAATATGAACTGGATTGTATGCCATTTGTTTAAAGCCTAAAAATGTTACAGCTCCAGGTGTAATTGGCATAGGATAAGAACCTCTCTGCACTTTGAAATAAGCTGCAAGTTGACTTAATAATAATTTTTTCTTTTAATAGTTTTAAATTAATGAATAGGGATGTTTTAAACATGTTGAACTTTTCCCTACAAAAGTGATAGGTTTGAAAGGAAGGTTCATATATAGTGCTGCCTTGTAAGAGATCCTTCAGAACTAAATATTGATGATATACTTTTAAGAATTCAGCCTTACTATCCAAGAATGCTTTACCAGTGTGTTTTTACTCAGTTCTAAGAGCATGTTCTTTCCTTATGGTATGTTTCTACTGCACTTGTGTATTCATGGACACACACACACACAAACACACTCTGTTCTGTGCCCGACTTAATGTGTGAAGATACTATGAAGCAATGAGAATATTCCTTTCTATTAACCATTAGTTAATGGTTAAAAACCATTGGTTAACAAACATTAGCACTTGAAATTTCTGTATACAAACCAATATTCTTATAAATTTTTCACCTGATACTGAGCTATTTATACAAAGGCAGCACAAAAAACCCAGACTTGTTTGTGAACAAGATTTTTATTATATGTACATATTTCTTTGAATTCCTAGTTTTGGACTTGTATTTGAATTCTAGGTGATATTATCTTGTGTTTAAATGAATCTAACAGGCCAGGAGTGACTTATTTGATTCCAAATTGCATCTATGGCATGAAACAAGACCTAAATGTGATAGGATTCACTATAAATATTGGGTCACATGGGAATCCCCGAAATGGAATCTCTTCTTGTTTTTTTCTTTGTTTTTGGTTCTCTAAATCTGGGCTACCTTTCAAAGGTTTTTTGATTATTATTGAATTGCTGAATTATATAGATAATTAGTAATCAGAACTTGTGGACTCTGTGGGAGAAGGCGAGGGTGGGATGTTTCAAGAGAACAGCATCGAAACATGTATATCTAGGGTGAAACAGATCACCAGCCCAGGTTGGATGCATGAGACAAGTGCTCAGGCCTGGTGCACTGGGA